TTTGGTCTGGGAGCTGTAAGATGAAACCATTCCGAGTGACGCTGAGAAGCTTACTGACATTTACATGGTCCAGGGTCTCTCTGTGTGAACACACGTGCTCGCCACCCTTCGGTAGCCTGACAATCAGGTGACTCCCTACCACAGGTGAGGCACCTTGAATTTCCCAGGACGCCCCTTTCAGTCTGCTGTGAAAGGGATCAATTCATTAAATATTTTAATATACATCTGACTTGGGCCCAGCTGGAGGCAGGTTAGCCTCCAATAACACAACTAAGCGCAGAGAAAACACCTCAGAAATTCAACGTCACTAGCACTGCCCACTGGCATCATTGGCATCATAACAGGGTGGCATTGGTTTCACCCCCTGATCCCATGATTGCATCTTCGGTTCCAGTGGTCAGATAGAAGTCAAGTGGAAATTATGACTTTTGCTTGTCGTTAAAATCAAATCTCATCATCATCGTCTTCTGAATCGGGTACCAATACAACTCCTCATTGTGATTCGTGACAATCATTTATTTGAAGCAAATACGTTGACTCACACCCATTTGAAAACGGTTCTGTCAGCAAGATAACTCCCCTCGATACAGTCTTCAATGGAAGGTGCTACTGTCTGCTGAGCGTAGTGGTACTATCCGATAGAACATCTGCTTCTGACCTTCCAAGATCATCATCTTGCTCGCACTGACTTGCACACTCACAGGCTAAGGTCTGGACACCCATCGCTACCAAACAAAACCACACCTAGAAACATGGTCAAAAACATGAAGCAAGTGAGGGGGTTAGTCAAAGACTGAAAAAGGAGAAAAACAAATCTCACCAATAGTGCTGAGGTGAAGGTGGTTGAGAGCTTCAAGTTCCTAGAAATAAATATCGCCAATGATTTATCATGGTCCATCCACATCAACGAAAGCACACCGATGTCTCGACTTCATCAGGAGGCGAAGGAGATTGGGCAGGTCCACACAGACGCTCACCAATTTTTATAGATGCATCTTAGAAAGCCTCCTATCTGGATGCATCATGGCTTGGTATGGTAACTGCACTTCCCAAGACCGCAAGAAACTACAGAGAGTGGTGAACACATCCCAGTCCATCTCACAAACCAACCTTCCTTAAATTGATTCCATCTGCACTTCCCGTTGCCTCAGGAAAGCAGCCAACATAATCAAAGACCCCTCCCACTCCGGTTATACTCTCTCCCACCCTCTTGCATCGGGCAGAAGGTACAAAAAGTTTGAAAACACATGCCAATAGATTCAAGAACAGCTTCTTCCCTGTTATTATCAGACTTGTGAACAGACCTCTCATATATTAGAGTTGATCTTTCTCTGCACCTTCTCTGTAACTTCTGCATTCTGTTCTATTACCTTCATGTACTTATGTAAGGTAGGATTTGCCTGGATAGCACACAAAACAATACTTTTCACTGTATCTTGATACATGTGACAATAATAAATCAAATTGAATCAAATCATATTCTCAGAGGACCATAAGCTACTCTCTCATCAGAGGCAGAGATGACTTGTGCTACATTTATTCTGTGTGCCACAGAACTGCAAGCAGGAATAGGTCACTTGAGCCTGCTGTGCCATTCAATAGGATCATGGCTGATCATCCAATTCAGTCACCTGCTCCCGCCATATCCCCTATATTCCTGATCCCAATTGAACCTCCACTGCTAGCATTACTCTGCATAGTGTGATGATACTAGAGCTTTAAGAGGTGTATTTTGTCCTTTTTTTTT